ATGGTGATGAACACGTGTAATCCCAGCATTCAAAATGCTGAGGTAGGAGGCTAAGGTAGAAGGATCACTTTGAGTTCAAGGCCAGCCTTGGCAATATAGTGAGTTCAAGGCCAGCTGAGACTACAAAGTGAGACTCTGCCTCAAAAACACAGACAGACAAAAGACACACACACACACACACACACACACACACCCCCAAAAGACTTTGATGCTCCAGTATGCAGTACTTTTCCAAGGAAAGATACTATATAAATCTAGCAAAACTGTTTATTGAAAATTCTATTTCATTTACCTTCAGTTCCTCAGCCTTTCCCATATTTCTAACCTATAATTCAAACTTAGGTTCACAATAAGCTGGAAACAGTGACTGTCTCAGATAAAGGTGGTTAGGGGGAAAGAGAAAAGCTCTTCACAGAATGAGTGGCAGATACCTAACCAATAAAATAATCTGTCACAATCACATTTTTACCAGCACATAATTTCTCCATTTATTCTTTTGTACCTTTCACCTCACCCTAGTACACAAGACTGAGCTCAGGGCCTTCACAGTGAGCTATATTCCTTGCCCTATTTTTAAAAAAAAATTTTTAGACTGAGTCCTGCTAAAGTGCTTAGACTGAACTCAAACCTGCAACCCTCCTACTTCAGCCTCACAAGTTCGGGGATTACAGGTGCATGCCACTGTACCCAGCAAGACTTTTGTACTTTTTGAATTTTTGTACCACATTAATACATTCTTTAAAATAACTAAATTCATATACACATGGACTTAGAACCAGCAACCCCACAGCTATATTTATTCTATAATTAGGTCTGTAAGAGCCAGATGTGGTAGAGCACAGCTATAATCCCAGCTATTCGGGAGGCTAAAGAAGCAAGATTGAATGTTCTAGGCCAGCCTGGATAATTTGTGAGACCCTGCCTCAAAATAAAAATATTTATTCTTTTTATTTTAAAAAGCATAAAACAGAATAAAACCAACCAAAACACACCAGTGTAAGAGATACAGGACTTCAAAACATTACCAAATCACCAAGTTACAATAATGCCATTAGATATCTTCAAAATAGCTACAGATAACTTCAGACATAGTAAAAATCAAACAGAACAGGATAGAATAAAAACAAAAAATGAATGCAATAAAGGACTTACAAGCCAATAGTAAATTCACAATTGCTACCATAATATATCTTGCTATCTTTGAAACAGCTGTTCCTGCCATCAAACAAAACAAAAGAGAATAAAACCCAACCCAGCCAAACAATGGAAAGATACAGGACCTCAAAACAAGACCACAGGGAATCAACAATGGCTACAACCCTCAGAAGGAGATCTCCCTGCTAGATGCCACCCTGCATACCGATATCCTCTGAACCTATGATCAGACCACAGGCCCTAGACCTGCAATGTTAGTGAAACACCAAAGCACCACAGGCATCCAATTGCATTTCACCTCAATAGCTATCATCTCAGCCTATATTTCTCTGGATAAACAGGTTGCTTGGGGAGATGGAAGGGACGTTACTTCTTGTATTGCCAGCCCACATGTTGGAAGAGGTTGGAGTCCAGCTTTTCTCAGTCCAGTGGCAGCCCACACCTGGCGCTGGTTACCAGACTGGATTTGTTTGCTGGTGTGCCTTTGTTCTCTCTCCCCTCAGTCCACAAAGGGTCAAATAAAAATATTTAGCCTAAAAATAAAAAAGGATAGGAAGGTGGGTGTGGTGGCATACACCTGTAATCCCAGCATAAGGAGACTAAAGCAAGAGAATCGTTGCAAGTTTGAAACCAGCCTGGGTTACTACCAAGTGAGCTCAATGCCAGCCTGAAATGCACAGCAAGACCTGTCCCAAAAAAAAAAAAAAAAGGATAGGAATATAGCTCAGTGGTAGAGCACCTGACCAGTATGCTCAAGGTCCTAGGTTCAATACCCAAGACAGAAAAATGTTTAAAAATCCCTGTACATACACAAAATGATATATGGGTCAAATTGATTCTTTACATTGTTGTGATAATACAAAACTAGAAACAAGCACTCAAAAGGCTGAGGCAGGGAGACTGCTGTGTGTTTGAGACCAGCTTGAGCTACAAAGTGACTTCCAGGCCAGCTTGACCTGCATGTGAGATCCTGTCTCAAAAAGACACACACACAAAAAAAAAAAACTAGAAACAATCTAAATGTCTACTGAGTAGGGATTGGTAAAATAACAAATATATACTACAGAAACAAGAGAACAAGAATAATACATTAAATCTTAAAAATGTGCATTAAAACATGGATAGATGTTTTTAAACGGGCCGGCGGTTTAGCTCAGCAGTTTAAATGCCTGCTTAGCAAACATGAGGTCATGAATTCAATCCCCGGCACCAAAAAAAAACAATACACAGATACAGATATATCTATCTATATCTATATAATCTGTAAATGCATAAAAAAAAAATCCCTACCTCAAAAAAGTAGGGTTACACTGGTTATATCTGCATAAAGGAAATAATCAAAAAATAAGGAAGGGAAACCTTTCTCTTTTTGTGTGCTTTTGTGTTTTTGAATTTTAAACCAGGGGAAGCTGTTAAATATTCAAAAAATTTTAAAGTTAAAATAAACCTTAGGTTTTACTGCCACATTGCCCAGCCTAGATCCTTTGCCCTTACTCTTCTCTGGCCATTCTTCTCTTAAACTCAGTCCTCAACAGGTCTTCTCTGACCCTTGCTGAGATACATGACTAGGTGATTGTGCTATACTGTATTTCTCCAAATATCTGCTACCCGTTCCAGTGGGAAGATTATACACATTGCCACCCTGCTGCTATCAGGCCTGGCCATGTAACTTACTTTGACCAATGAAATCTGAGGACAAAGGCCATGAAAGCCAGCTCATGACTGTGCCCAGTACCAGATCAACAATCCCATGTAACAGCTGTGCTGTCAGGCCTGGTTTCAGCAATGACACATAGGAGCTCAAAGCCAAGATGACCACACAGTATGAGCAAGCAATAAACCTTTGTGTGTTTAAGCCACTAAGATTTTCAGGTTCTTTGTTACTATATGTGGTTTATCCTAAGCTGACTAACCATACAAACTAATTTCAAAATTTACTGGATCTCATGTAACCTTTTACCTTGATTCTGTATTTCCCAAACCTATAAAAGTGGGACAGTAACAGGTCCTACTTCATAGGGTCACTGAAGATTAAATAGGTGAATATTGCTAAGCTTTTCACTTTATATAGCACTTACAATTATTGTGATAATTACTTATTAGTACTAATAACCTCTTAGGAATTTAACCTAGCCCTTCTCATTTGTTTCTGTAAGATGCAAGTGACTTTCTGGACTCTAGATATTAATTGTACATACATTTTGCCTTTGGGCCACCATTTCCGCTTCTGATGGCATTTCAAATTGTCTTTTGTCTACTAAGTCACTCCATTACGCCTACCTTTCCCTAACTATACCTTAGATCATCTGGAGAACTTTTAAAAAACATCTGTGCCTGAGCCTTATGTTAAACCTATTATTCAGAATGGGGGTAGTAGAGCAGACAAAGTTATTAAAAACTACACAAAGATGTTGTTCACATGTCTGCACCAGGTAGCTAATAACTCATCAACATACACAAAAATGCAGAAAGATTTCATGCCCTTCCCTCTGAGACTTTCCTATCTATAAAACCCTACCAGAGAACTGCTATCTCAGCCTCTTCACTGCTCGCCACTGCTGCACTCCTGTGAGCTACCCTTCTCCTTCTCTTCTCCTACTCCACTGGTCTGCCTCTCTCCAAGATCATCAGCCCAGAACTGATTCCGGTCTTCTACTTACTGGTCACTCTCTAGGCTGAAACACGGTTCCCTTTCACCTCCTGAAACTCCCCTCCTCCTCTGCTTCTTCTGAACTCTCAGACTTTCCTGGTTCCTCTGTAACCTCCTCAAATGCCATTCTATGTCCCCTCTACTTCTGACCCCTGCATGCCAACACCCCGAGGGCTATGTCCTTGTTTTTTTCCTCAGTGTTCTCTCCCTGGCACACCTGCACTTATCAGGATGTCGTATCACCAATATGTGGACAAGTCGTACATCCACACCCCATGTGTCTGGTCTCCACAAAGCTGCAGACTCCCAGTTCAACTTTCCTGTTAATAATGAAAGATCACCAATATAAGAAAAAAATAAATCTGTTTATGATCAAACACATCAGTTTCCCTCCAAAGTTAATTCTATCTTCTGGGAGAGAAGGCTCCTGGGCTTGTACTAGTGTTCTATGTTCTGATCTAGGTATTGATAACACAGGTGTATGCCTTTGTGAAAGTAAATCAGCTCTGCAATTACGATAGACATTTGCTTATGTGTATTTTATACTTTAATAAAAATTACTTTAAAAAAGGAAAGAAAAACCTGAAAAGACTCTTAACCCTGGTCACTGCGTTGTCATTCTTTGTCAATTGAATCAAGGCTCATAGGACACAGTCACCTCACCCTATTATTTCTCCACACCAGTAACTCACACAATATTCACTAAATGCAAGCATCTCCCCACTTGGCTCCCACTGATTGTTCAAGCTCTATTTCAAAGGCCATTGCTTTTACAAGGCTTTTCTTTATCCTTCTTTCTACTCCTGTCCATACCAGATAGGATTTTTCCCAGTAAGACAAGTTTCTCTCACAGTACTGCATATTTCTCTATTAGTCAATTTTTATTTGCAGCTACAGTGGTATTCAACAGACAAAAGCAATGAATAACTTCTCACTGTTCCTTTCAAAGAATGGCTATTCCATTTTTATTTTGCAAATATAATAAATTGAAAAAACATTAACTTTAGCCAAAAAAAATTATATGCCCCAGAAGTTTAATAAAAAAAGTGACTGAACTACCTATTTCCTAATTGATAGGTGAATAGTTCCTGACAGGAGACTGTAAAAATGCAAATCAAAGTAAAGAGAGTTTTCAAGATACAAAGTCCTTCCAAATACATCCAAATAAAAGGACACATATGAATTATGTACTCACCTGAGGAATCTGTGTGCTTTTCCCACATCCTGTTTCTCCAACAATCACCACGGTCTGATAGTTTTCTATCAAGTATAAAATATGATTCCTAAGCTGAAAAAGAGTAACTATACATTATAAATAGCCATATTTTGACTCTAAAGACCTAAACAAAAATGTTTAAACATTGTGAAACAGGCTGCTTCCAAAGGAAAGTAAATTTTAAAAAGAACTATCAAGACATATTTCCAGCTCTCAAGGACCACTGACATCAGTATGCACTGACACAGCTGGAAGCCATTGTAATACTTACCAACTTATATCATGAGAACTCTTTGATTCAAGATTTTCACTGGTAAGAAATTATACTATAGCATACTAATATATGTGCTTTAAAAATGTATATGTAAACATATTCACTGCAGAATTGCATACAGTACCCCAAAATTCAAACTACCCAAATGTTCAACAGGTTATCTTGTTAAATTAGTTATAAAACACTCTAACAATTAACAGTTACTAAAAGAAACAAATGTCTCTTTCTACTAATACAGAATGATCTACAAGATATATAAAGGGAAACAAGACATAAAATCTTGAGTAATATACTAGCATTTGTTTTTAAAGAAGATAAACATTTATATACACATATATAATTTTTTTAATTTGTAGATCATCTCTAGGAAAAAATAAAACAAGGAAGTATAAAATTGCTGCCACAAAGGATGGTAAATGCTGAGTGGGGAACAGAGAAATGAAGACTTTTAAGCTTTGCACAGCATGCATTTATTACCTAATTTAAAAGTTTTTCATTTATTAACATTTTAAAAGTCTCAGGGAAAAAATAAAGCATATGCTTTGACCCCTATCTTTAAATGCAAATTCACAATAAAGCACTTAGTGTGAAGAGAAACAAGGTATGGCCATTTAAAAGTTACAGAATAGCCAGGCATGGTGGCACGTGCTTGTGACCTCAAGGACTGCAGGTTCAAGCACAAAGTCCCAGCCTGGGTAATTTAGCTACTTATTAAGCTCTGTCTCCAAATGAGAAAAGGGGTTGTTGGGGATGTAGCTCAGTGAGAAGGTCCTGGCTTTAATTTCCAGTTGACTACAGATACTCCTGATGCCCAGTGGGTAATAAAGGTATTCCATAAATACCTGATTTGAAATGAAGGAAGTAACTGTCTCATGCTCCCTCTCTGATCACTGCTCAGCTCCTCTGCTGTCACATCAAGAATGTTTGATGAGGATGAGAAGAGTTGAGATACTGCCAGTTTCTATCTAGCAAAAAAGGTACTGGTTATTTGGGAATTCTGAATTAGGCATTGTCTGGCATCTAGCTATAAAGTCCTCAAGCCTTAATGTGACAGTTTTCTGGATAGTCATCAAAAATGAAGATTACTAGCCCTACCGTCAGCTAGATGGGACCCAGCAATCTTATTTACACGTGTACCCCAAGAGATTCTGGTGCAGATGGTCTAAGAACTAGTCTAGATGCTTTCTTCTTGGTGCTGAGACTTTGTGCTTTCTTTCACATTGGGTGGAAGAAGAGCAAAGCTTTGGGTTCTTTACAGTTACTTTGTAAATGGCAGACTCACTGCTGAACAGACAGATACACGGATAAATGAGAGGGTGGTTAGGGAAACTTGAAAGAAATGAAGATCAAAAATCTTCATTTTTGATGCCTATCCTAGAAAGCTAAAAAAACAAAGTATTGTAGGAAATAAAAGAGCAAAGGAAAGAAGATGAAAATAAGCAAATTATGTAAACGCTTTTCAGTGGAGCTATGAAAAGCTCAGATTTGGTCTGGGAACAAGTTGGGAAAGATGCAGTTAGGACCTCACCATGAGAGCTCTTGAATGCAGGCTTAAAAGCCTGCACTTTACCTAGGAAGGAAGATAGGCTACAGTATTTTGAGAAATTGGGCAGTTGCATACAAGACTATTTTTTGGACATAAACAAGATGAAGACAATGTGATTCCAACATCATGTGGCACAAGCCTAAAAGGGTCTCTGATGTGTTGTAAATGAGCAGTCAAATGTGTGACATCAAGAGAAATGATAAAAAGATGTTGCATAAGAGGACAATCTTACACCCAGCACCCAGGCCCCAAGAGAATGCCAGGCTACAAAAAGCAGCCTAGAGGCAGGCTGCCTTGCAACTACACTGGGGAAAAAGACATGATTAAGGTTACTTTAGTTTCAATCTCTGTTTTACTATTGTTGTTTTTCTGGTACTAGGCATTGCACATACTAGGAAAATGCCCTACCACCAGCAGTTTTAAAACTATTTTTAATTCAAATGGGGGAGAAGTGATGAGGAGTAAATTTTTACCCTGTCTTCCAGTGTTAACCCTTATCATTTTATGCACGGGGTAAAGAAGGCTCAAAAATGCTTAAACATTGCTTTGCTTTTTCTTTTTTTCCTTGTTTGTTCTTTCCCAAAACAAGATCCCATTAAATAGCCAAATCTAGTCTTGAATTTTTGATCCTTCTGCCTCAACCTCCCAAGTAGCTTGGATTACAGTAAGCATGTGTCACTGTACCCAGCTGTGTTTTGCTTTAAATTAGTAACTTATACTCCTGTTTCTTACTATCTTATCTCCATCTTCTTACTATTTTAATTCTATCAATATACTGCAACTTTTATTTTTTTCACCTGTTGTTTCATTTATATGATAGAGTGAAGAAAGTTTAAAAAAGGCCAAAATTTAAATCCCCAGTAAACAGTAATTTTCCTGTTCTTGAACACTGACTATGTCTGAGATATTTTTTTTTTTTTTTTGTCTTTTTCATTTTTATCGGTACCAGGGATCGAACTCACGACCGCACACTTGCAAGGCAGGCACTTATGCCGCTAAGCTAAATCCCCAGCCCCATGTCTCAGATATCTTATTAAATGGTCTACAATGACTATCCCACCAGGGCCCCATAACATTCAATGAGGTAGTTGTTATCAGTCTGATATCATAGATAAGGAAATGGACGCTCAGAAGGATGAAGCAAGGCCACACAGTGCACACATGTTGACATGTGGACTGAAAACTCCAGGTCTAGAGACCCTAGCGAAGCAACAGCTAGCCCACTGTCTCACCTTCTGAGGGTCACACTCATTAACATTCACATATAACAGAGGAAGCTACATTAAGAATATTGCTGTTTATATCTCTTTGGATAAAGAACATATCAATACTAAAAAATTACCAGACAAAGGGACCACTCAAATGTAAGAACTTGATGTCTTTCACCCGGCTCTATTCAAAAGAAAGAGAGGAACATGTGTACTGCTGTCCATACCTATTCGTGTCATTTCAGAGGTATGTGAACAAGGAAAGCCCATCACCTTTCATCAGGGGCCATATGAAATAAACATTTGCCAAGTCACCTGACCTGCCTTTGGCTCTGTGCCCACTTCCTGACTACTGCTAGGTTCTGCATGTTGCCAAAAGGAAGAAAGGATGTTTATCAACTGTGTCCATCACCACTAAAGTTCACTATGAATCAGTGTACTCTTGTGAGCTAAGCATGCATCACTTCATTTGCACTAATACAATCAAGTATCAGGATATACATCTGGCATCTGGTAACCATGATGAAATCCCAACACTGCCTCAGCAGGCCTTCCAGCACTAATTGAACTCTTCATCCAACATAACCTTGAATTTCCAATTAATCTTGTTTAAGTACTTTTTTAAAGAAAATGAAAATTTGCCATATGCTGATAATGTGTTGCAGATGGGTACACAGAAGTTCACTGTAACATTTTGTCTACTTTTCTGTATGCTTGAGATTGTGCAAAATTAAAAGCAATGAAGGTGTTAAAAGAAGCCATTCCAATTCTTCCCATTTTTAAGTATGTAAGATCTAAAGGGAAAAATTTTTTAAGGACTTTCCATATTTACAGAGTTAATACACCCATACACATACACACACGTACACACAATTTAGAAAACTATTTCCTTAAATGAAGGCTCCTCTAGTTCACTGTGTTTTCAAAAACCCTCAGAGTAAGAGGCCACTGTCTGCAATAACAGCCATGTGTCCAGCAGACCACGACGAAGCCCATGCCCTGGCCTTGCCATACCTTAAACACAGGCAGCTTCTGCCTCTGCTGCTCTATGGAGAGGGCAGCATAAGGATTGTAAACGATGGTTGTCCCAGAGTTTTCTGTGACACTTTGTCTCTCTTCAGTGATGCTGACACCGGGCCCTTCTGTACCTGTAGCAGAAATGTTTTTTCAGATCCTCTGATGCGGTGAACAGAAAAAGGTTTACGGGTTACACATTTTCAAAAATCAAGGTATACTCCAAAAAAAAAGCAATGCTTTTTATCTCAAACTACTAAAAGTATAAAACTTTAAGCTTTAGAAGTTTAAATTTTGGGGGCTGGGGGTTTAGCTCAGCGGCATAAGCACCTGCCTTGCAAGCAGGCGGTCGTGAGTTCGATCCCCGGTACCGATAAAAATGAAAAAGACAAAAAAAAAAAAGAAGTTTAAATTTTAAAACCCTAGGAAAGCATGTATCAAAATATAGCAATTTTTCTTAAACGCTTGAAACAGAGGGAGAGGGCAGCCCCACTGGGCTCCCACTGGCCACTCAGCTCTATGTATTATCAAATTCTTAACCAGTGAAAAAAACCCAACACGAAGTAGAATTCACTGAGGCCAAGGACAAATCCTGTCACTGTGGATTAGCAACAGGATTCAGGGAAGACGGGCACAGAGGCCTTGAAGCCTGCCATAGCTTTCTCCTCTCATCTCTGTATTTCTTGACAAGTTCCTCTCAGACCCTGGAGGAGCTGGAAACAAGGCCGCTCACAGTCCCAGAGCTCAGGCTCGAAGGTCTTCTACCAATTGTTCCCGTACCCACGAGTGAAGATGAGGGTTTATTACATGCCTGACCCAGTTCCAGGTGCTAGAAATACAGCAGTGAACAGTCCAAATCCAGGCCATGCTCTCATGGAGCTTTCCTGCTTCTTCTAGAAGAGTGTAATCCAGTGCATGAAGTGACAGGAAGTGCCATGAAGAGAATAAAACACCGTAAGAGGGACTGAGAGTCCCAGGTGTGGGCTGTCGACAGGAGTGGTGAAAGCTCTCAACACTGACCCTCAGGGACTGACTTCTCACAGTTTAGGTCCAATGCCCACCCTGATCCAATATCTTGAGCCAGTAGAATAGGATACAGAGAATGGCAGCCTTTTCTGAACCAGAGCTGGAGTGGTTACGTGAGAAATGCTATTCCCAGAAATGCCACAGAGAGCAAATTAAACAACAGCCAGCCACCAATTGCTAAGAACAATCATAATGATGCTCAATGTGGAGCAAGGGAGCCAGATCCCATCCTAAAAACCTGTGAAAGGTACGAGAGACTTTTAGCCTGAAAAGGAAAACACCTCAGGAGAAACACTGGTTCACGTTTTATGAGCAGCTTCTGTGACTTTTCACGCTGATTTGTTCATGTGGCCCTACGCTCAAGGACCAAATTAGGAATAATAAGTAAATGACATACAAACTCAATGTAACAAATATTTCTAAAAGGCACAGAAGTTCAGCAATGGAGTATGTTGCCTTGGGAGTCAATAAAAATTCTCCCTAGAAGTACAGATGAGTGTATACAGCACCCTACTGAGAGTGCTATGGGGATAATAGTTCAAAACAGCTATCTTCCAAGTCCTTGGAACTCAAAATCTGTGGTGCTACTTGAAAGAACATGGACTTTATGATAAGAGTAATTAGCCCAGTGATTTTTATCCTTTTTACAGGTCTCAGATCCCTTGCACAATCTGGTAAGTCTATAAACTCTCTTGAAAACCACAACAGAAGAAAAAATTTACCAAACTAGAAAATGCTAGGAGTCCATACCCTTCCTAGGACTCAATTCAGAATCACTGCTTTAGATTTTTGTTCTTTTTCATTTACTTCCAGGAACAAAGCTGTGTTCCAGAGCCCAAGATTGCCAAAAATCAGGTAAGTGGGGCACTGCTGTGTTGCTTTTGCCAAATGCTGATCTTCCTTTCAACAAGATAAAAGACAAAACAGAACCTGGAACAAAGCCTGTACTCAAGCAAGTTCCTTTCCTTTTTTCTCTTACTATTGCCACTTTTGCTTTTTGGGCTTTTTTTCAATGCTAAGGATCAAACCCAGAGTCTCACACATACTAGGCAAGAACTCTACCACTGAGCTACATCCATAATACTGCCACCTCATAATAATGTCTTATCATATGTTTTGGCGGACAGGCAATACTAGAACTTAATCCTTCATAATCTTTAATCAAGAAAACTATTACAAAAAATATCTTACTCTCTTCTGCTCTGTTTTTGCCACAATTCTCTCCTTTTCAAAGCACTTTAAATTGTTCATTTATGTCTGGAATATTCTAACACGACTCTCACAAGGTCTCTTACTTCTTCCTACACCCAGGTTTAGTGCAGTCAGGGTCTTGTTTACTATCCCATGTACCCTTGTCTCTAATCCACGGCCCAGCCCATCTCAGTATGTCCTTATGATATATTTTATAAGAGTATCTGCTATCAATCCATAAAGAGTTTATCTTTTTACCAAAGACTTCATTCAAGAACCTCAGGGCTGCTTCCCCTCCGTACGCATCCCCCAGCCCACTCAGGCTGCTTATGGCTGTCTTTTCACTGGGAGTGTTCTGTGTTTAAAGGAGTAACAACTTTACAATTTTTGCAAACTATAAACACTTTCATTTCCCCATCTATTTAAAAAAAAAAAAAGCTCCTAGTGGCAACCCCAATTCAGCATTCCCTTTAGCCTAGGCTTGTCAAAATTTGGTGACCCATTACTGAATTAGGAAATCCATGTAATGGGTCATGCCAGCACTTTTAAAATAATGAAACAGAAATGGAGTCGCTCAGTAGAGTGCATATTTAGCAAGTGTGAGGTTCTGGGCTCCATCCCCAGCACCACAAAGGAAGGAAGGAAGGAAGGAAGGAAGGAAGGAAGGAAGGAAGCATTGGAGAGGAAACAGAAGTAACAGCACATTCTAGAAAACAGTATATTTCTGGACACTTTTTTCCATTATGTACATGTGCTAGATCAGAATATCTACATGGAGTAATTAAAATAACAGTGAATGTTTCATTTTTTAAAACTTATTACAGTAAAAGACACAATGCCATGAAAATACTCCTCCCTTCCAAATACTCCTCCTCTCTTCACACACTTAACCCATTATTCTTGCCACTTTCTAAAGCCATTCTGGTGATAAGATTATATCCAAAAGATGAGAAGTATAAAACAAAAGAGGCCTTTATTCTGAGAACACGGAGAGAGAAAACCAAAACCCCCGACCGCTGGAGTTGGGCTTTCTCTCTGGCGGACATGTGGCGTGGGTGGTACGTAAGTAAGCATCAGTTTGGGGTGGAACCTAAAGGGGCATCAGGGATGCAAGGGTAGCCCATTGGCCTTTATTTGGCGCCATAGGTAAATTCCTAGGGCGCAGGGAAGATGGAGTCACAGGTAAATTCCTAGGAGTGGGGGAGATAGGAGCTCCTTGGTTGGCCTCTAAGGCTTCACCAGCTACAGTGTCCTGTCTGGGCCAAAACTCCTTCACTGGAAGTTTTCCTTGGTGAGAATCTTCATGAGATGTGATAAAAAATACAGTGAATTGTGCTACTGAGTGCCATCCAAAGGAAAGGCAGACTTGTAAAAACATTAGCGTGTCCTCACCCACCTTATTCACTGGACCTGGCACCATGCAACTTCTGGCTGTTCGCCAGAATCAAAATGACAACAAAACATAAGACACAAAGAAAGAAGAGCTTCAGAAAGTTGTAGGAACATGAGATAAGTGTGTTCACAATGAGGGGAGATATTATGAAGATAATTAATGACAATGTATCTTTTTAATTAATTTTATTTAAACATTCGCCCCTTCTGGATTTTAGCAGTACTCTCATTTAAGTGTCCTTGTCTCTAATGTTCTCCTTCATTCATTCTCCATTTGTCATACCAATGCCAAGGTTATCATTCTAAAGTAAATCTATGTAACTTACCCACTTAAAAACAGTAAACTCCAAATTCTTTGTCATGGAGATCTATCATAGTAAGGTCCCTCCCTACCTGTCCAGCATTATCTCCTATCACGCCCCAAATTACATAACACCATTACACTAGTCAATTATTCTGGTTTTCTAAATTTGTTTATTTGTTGGACACAGGGTCTCACTCTGTAGTCCAGATTGGCCTTGAATTCACTGTGTAGCTCAGGCTGCCCTCAACCTCATGGCAATCCTCCTGCCTCAGCGTCCCAAGTTCTTGGATAATAGATGCGTGCTACTATCATCGGTTCCTTTTGGACATTCTTACGACACAAATCCAACTCTGCCTTTATTTATACTGTATCATTTGCCTAGAGTTGCTTTCCTTAATCACTCCACAAAACAAAATGTTATTCATCTCTCAATTCTTTCCTACTTGGGCGCAGTCAAAACCCTTCAACAGTGGTAGAGCACTCCCACATTCACTCCAGCACTGGAAAGGACAAAAGCTTCAAAGCCACTGCTATTTTTGAATGTACCAATATTACCAGATTTATCAAGTTATTTCTTGTCTACATGTTCAACTTTTCCTTCCCTCTTCTATAAAGCCACATAAATATGGTTACCTAATGCTAAAAGCTTTTCATGTATTATTCTGATTTAATCTTCACAAAAATACTTCTATGCCAGATTATGGATGGTATAATCAAGACTTTGGGCACTTACATGACTATCAAGCCAAGTAGTGACTGGAATTCAAGATGAGCACTGTAGTCTACTGAGCCCATCTTCTTTACTGTCATCTTATTCTGCTTCATTTAAAGTGTTTTCTAATGCACATCTAACTTCATAATCAATTGAGAGCACAGCTTTAGAGCCCAGAACATCTACATTTGTAACCCTGGCTACAGGGTTAAAGATTCAGTAAGCATACTCCAACAAACTAAGTAATAGAATGTAACTCTTGAGAGTAATTTCATGTTCTTTAACCAAAATAGTAGTTAGTATAATTTTCAACAACTTATTCAGGTCTTTACTACTTGGCACATTGTTTTGTGTGTATGTGGTGTGTGTATGTGTGTGGTGTGTGTTTGAGACAAAGTTTCACTGCCTAGTTCAACCTGGATTCCAACTTGCAGTTATCCTCCTGCCTCAAATTCTGGGATCAAAATTTCTACCACCACCACATCCTGCTGTACTTAGCACTTTACTTTGTTATTAAAAGCCTGAATAAATAAGGTAGCTCATTACTTAATGGAACCTTACTTTTCGCTGTAAATAAAACTCAAGACAGATAATTGGCTAAAGCCTAGAATGCTGAATCATAAAACTGTCATAAAGACACAAACAGGATTTTTTAAAAGAATTAAGCACATTCTTTGCTTGGATTTATCTCTCACATCATTTACATGCATGATCAAAATTTCAAGGAACCACTCTAAAACATCCCTTAAAACTTTTCCTTTTATTACCGTTTCTGTCTGTCATTTTCCAGCAATATACTTTGCACAACCCAACAGGGGTGCAGGGGTGTGGGGGATGGATTCCCATTAATAAGAAGCTTATTTTTAAAAGGAACTAGTGGACAAAGAGAAAACAAAATGCACCTAGCATGGCCTCAATACACATTCAACAAAAATCTGATTGTCCCAGTTAAGAGACAGTGATTCAGTGTATCAAAAAGTGTACCTTGATTGAGTATAATTGTTCATGCGATTTACGTTTTCTGAGCTTTTAGTCTGTTAACCCGTTTCCGTGCTAAAGACGTAAATGTGATGCTGGCCAAAACAAAATACTTGCTGACAGTAATTTTTGTTAGTCAAGTCAGAAGTGGATGACAACCAGGCGTTGTGATGCACATCTGTCATCCCAGTTCTTGGTAGGCTGAGGCAGGAGGATTGCCCTGAGTTGGAGGCCAGCCTGGGCAACATTATGAGTGAAAGGCCTGCCTGAACTACACAGCCTCAAATTCTCCCCCACCTCACTCTAAATAAATAAATAAATAAAAACCTGGATCGCGGCCAACATAATAAAGGTGTTCCCTTTCTGACAGACACTTGGGTCAGGGTGGACAAGAATTACCCTACAAGAACACAACGCACTTCCCCTTTTTTTAGGACCACTTAAAAGTCGGATAATGTGTTGTGTCATTATTCAAACCCACGTGATAAGTGTCATTCTGCCCATTTTACAAGTGAGGAGACCAAAGCTCAAAGAGGTTACATGACTTGCCCAAGGTCACTCTACTGCTTTAAAACAAAGATCGGTAACCTAACTCCGTGGCTCCTAAGTACTTGAGCACCATCGACTTTCCGGCCCCAACATAGCCCAACAGCGGTTGTACCCACGCGGAGGTGCTTTAGCATTCCCTTTCTCGCCGGGTGGGCAAGACAGGAAATCAGCAACGAGGGAAATGAGGCCGGAAGTAAAAGAGAATGCAACAAGGTCACACAGTTTTTGCCCAGGTTGGAGCCGGTCTCCCGAATCCTTCTGGATCACGGTGGGCGCCATAACCCGAATCCACTGGCTGAGACGCGGCGGTGCTCAGTCTGCCGAGGTCAGGCCTACGAGAAGGTCCGCAGGCCCCAAAGTGCTAGCCGCGACGCCAAGACTGAAGTTAAGCAGGCAGGTGCATCTACCCGCCGTTCTGCAGAGGGTCTTACCCGGTCGCCAGAACTTCACGGGTCCCATGGACGCAGCCATGCTGGGGTGAAAGGTCACGAAAGCGGCTCCACCCCGCAGTTGCGCGCGAGTCCCGTTGGACCTAGGGGGCGTGGCCCGCGGAGAGCTTCTCTCCGCCCGGACCCAGCGGTGTAAAGGCCACGCCCCTTAAGCCACCGCCCTCTGTACCACGTGACCAGCAAAGCGCTCCTGGCCCTCCCCTCTCCGGCTGGCGGAACTCTGATAGCCTCTATTGGAGCTGAGGGCGGGTGCCTCTGCCTCTTCTGAGCCTGTTGGATGGGGGGGGGGGGGGGGGAGGGTAAGGCGTCGCCTCACTGCCTGCGCACCTTCCACAGTGCAGGCTCTCGCGGAGGACCTAGGACAGGAAGACCGTTGTGTATGGTGTCCTCTCCGGTTAAGAGATAGTGATTCAAGGTATCAAAAATTGTACCTTGACTGTAATTGTTTTCTGGCCTTTTAGGCTGGTTGTTAATCTGTGTTTATGATAACGTGCTAAAGATGTAAATCTGACGCTGGCAAAAAGAAAGACTGATTGTGTCACGTACTGACCCAGTTTTGCTGCTTCTCTTTCAGACTTCATTTTCAAATTGAAAAGTCTCAAATCTGGGACACTTCGGAGAATGAAAGGGAGTGTTATGCAGATGGGACTTGGGGATAAGCGACAAACTGGATGTCTGCCAGGCAAATTGGGGCACCTAGCTAGGTGTGCAGCTCCAGAAAACCCAGTATAACAACGCTTCTCTGAATGCATTCAATGTAAGACAGGTAGCCAATCTTCACAGATAAAGTGTTAGTCAACTACCATCATGGATTTCAATTTGAGCACAGCCCAAAATATCTACCATTGTTTTTGTTTTTGTTTTACCATGATGCGATTATCAGAATGCATCACAGAGCTTTTTTTTTTTTTTAAATAGGATTTCACTGTGCAGACTGAGCTTGAACTCTCTTGGTAGCCCAGGACGGCCTTGAACTCACAGCCATCCTCCTGTCTCAGCTCTTTAATGCTAGGATTACAATGTGCACCACCACACCCGGGCACAATGCCATTTTAAGAAAAGCTTTGTGAGAAATTTATTTAAATTCTTTTAATACCAGGAATAGCCATTTATCCTGTACCTGAGTTTACTGCAACCTTACGGACATTGTGAGTAGCCTATCTTACCAGGTTCCTTCTGTTTTGGTTACTGGAAGATTTTTTTTTTTTAATGTGTGGCTTACATGAAGTAGGCATGTATTAGTTTCTCCCCAACTCCATTTTTCCTGTGTTTCCTTTATGTAACTTTAAGTTTACATGATGTGGAGGACCACCTGGACAACTCTCCTTGAATAAAGAGCAGTTATCTCCACTTTGGTTAAACCTACCCCAACCTGCATGTACTGATATGTACAGACCCGGCTAAGCTGTCTCTTTTTCCCTTCAGTTAGCTCTAAGCAATATAAACAGGGCTAGCTGAGGTGCTGATGCATAATCTTTGAAGATAGGCGACAGGCGCTGTTTCCTCACCCTAGTGTCTCCTTAAACACAGTTGAGCCAGGCAGGATGGCAGAGCCTCAGCCTCACCTTACTATAGGGCTGTCAGCTGGGGTTCAAGCCTTGAGAAAAGAGGCTATGACTGCCCAGGGCAGAGAAGTTTGCACATTAAAAACTGAAGCACAAGCCTGCAAAACATTAAGTGCTATGATTGTGTTATGCAGATTGACCTTTCAGCATATCCTCTCTGCATATTGCAGAGGTGCTTTCTGTCCTCCTAGCTAACTCAGTAATACCTGCCATTCTCACACTCATCCTCTAGCCACTCCCTTCTTCATGAGTTAATAAAATCTGGAATAGGCCCTGGGTTGAGATCTTTGTTCTGATAACCATGATCAGGGCCGGACTCAGGACTCCTTGGCCCCCCCATAATTATAAAGATGTCTTAGTGTCTTTATTCTCACTGTGGTTTGCACTGCAAGTGGTAGATTGGAATTAACTTGCTAGAATTCCAATAATGTTTCCATGGGATTACAAATATAAACTTCCTGGACTGAGATGAGGACGGGAAAATGACATTGTGTCTTATGTTTCCTTGTGGGTTACTTAAGTCTCAGTAGTAAAAAAGAAAGATAATCCCCAGCCAACTGGGTACAGAAGTGGATGGCCATCTCTTCAGCCAATTCCTTAAATCTTAAAAAAGAAACCTCAACCTTGTGTGCCCAACTGAGCCAATCTTAAACTACATAGATCTCTAATTTGAACAAACCTTCAGGAAAAAATATTTAACAGAAAAATTTATCTAGGTTGCTCAGGTATATCAGTGATACTATGCTAGCTTTTAAAAATTGTTATTTGTTGGGAGCCGCAGCCCCGAGCCCAGTCGCCTCACTTGGCGGACGTGAGGCCTGTAGTAAAGAGTAAAGCCTGAGGTAGATTACCCCTCCCATCGAGCACGTTAGTTTCCTGCTTACCGCGTAAGCAACCCGCTCAACAATATAGTCTGCCTGGCAACTGATGATGTTAGCCAATCAGCTTGCCTTGCTCACTTTAACATGATTGGACACTGTATCCGTATATATACTGGTGCCACCCCTGGGGGGAAGAAGAAGCCCGGAAGTAGAAGCCCAGAAGGAGCCGCGGGGAGCGGACCAAAGGAGGCTTCGGCTGGGAGCGATCCCAGGGCAGGCTGTACGGAGAAGGAAAATAAAAGAAAAGGTTGTCCACTGCCAGACTTTGTCGTGTGTCCTTCCTGCCGGCCAGGAGCGACATCGACATTTGGAGGCCCGCACGGGGACTGATCACCCCCGAGACGTGACAGCGGACAATGCTCCAGTACAGAGCTGTGAGACAGGTGAGTTGGGGATAAGCCTGGGCTCTGGGTGGCGCGCACCTACAGGGCTTTTAGACTCCCCTCAGGCTCACGCGTAAGTGGCGGATTCCTTGGGCCTCACGCGGTGAGTAACATATTAAAAGATGGGAAACATGCTAGGTAGCAACTCTAAGAGCGAGGGTGGTTGTGGAGAAAGCTCTCAAGAGCTTACAAAAGTACGCAGGGTATTTGAGCAGGCCCAGTCGGGGAGCTCCCGAGAGGGGCCCGTCAAGGGGAACAAAGATGCTAAGGAGAAGGACGGGGCTCTAGCCTCGGAGTCGTCTGACTCCGAGGACGAGGGAAAGTTGAATGGCAAGGAGGCCAAAGAGACCAGCTGTCAGGAGCCTAAGTCGCTCGATAAGGAATCGCAGGGTTCTTTCCCAGCGTTGCGCCGTGAATTGTGCTCCGCTCAACTTGGTCTGCGGAGGAGTAGAGAGCTCCTGAGCGCTCCCCGGCGCGAGAGGGAGGCGAAGCCTTCCGCCCCACCTTGGGGGGTGTTCCCGGAAGCGATCCCTCGCCACGAGGCGGCCGCCCGGGAGCTCCCTTCCCCTTTGCCAGAACAGGAAGTGATGCACGGGCCCCCATTTTCCGCCCAATCATGGCCGCCGTCTTATGCTCCGCCGCCGGCGGGTCGGTATTTTTACAGGCGGCTTTGGCAGGGGGGACGTTTGTCTCATGAGGTACATCCACCACCTGGGATAGATAGTGGCCCCTACGGGATATTTCCTGTACAAGTAGCTATGGGCCAGGGACATAATGCATGGGAGCCTTTTGAGATAAAGCAGATTAGAGAACTTAAAAATGCAGTTACAACCTTTGGGCCGACTGCGCCTTACACCATTGCCATGCTGGAGAACCTGTCTTCTGGGCCCCTCACCCCCGCGGACTGGATTCAGCTGGCAAAGGCGTGTCTGCCCTCGGGTAGTTACCTGGATTGGCGAGCCTGGTACGCAGAGTTCTCTGCAGAGCAGGCTGAGAGAAACGCCAATCGGGGAAACCGGGGGTGGAACAAGGAAATGCTTATGGGAGAAGGTCGGCATGCTGATGATCAGACTCAGTTCCCCGGCGCTGTCTATGAACAAATCAATGCCATAGGGCTCCGCGCCTGGAAGCAGGTAAGTGGTGCCGGAACAGCCTCCTTGTGTCTTTCAAAAATAATTCAGGGTACCACAGAGCCATTTGTTGACTTTGTGGCCCGAATGCAAGATGCTGCCGATAAGATATTTTCTGATCCGGGAGTGGCTCGACCGCTGGTAAGGCAGCTGATTTTTGAGCAATGTACAAAGGAGTGCAAGGCAGCGATAGCTCCTCATAAGAACAAGGACCTCAACACCTGGATTAGGATATGTAGAGAGATAGGGGGGCCGCTCTCCAACTCGGGAGTGGCTGCTCTCCTGGCCGCGGCTGTACAGCAGAGGGGACCTCGCGGGTTAGAAGGGGAATGTAAGGCTAAAGGGTGTTTTGCCTGCGGGGAGCCAGGACACATTAAACGTCATTGCCCAAACAATGCAGATGCTAGGCCTCGCCCTAGGAATGAAGAACCATATGTTTGTGGGCGATGCAAGAGGGGATCACACAAAGCTGAGGAGTGTAGGTCGGTCTTTGATGCTCAGGGCAACCGTATTTGTGGACGAGATGCTAGAGGGCCAAAAAACGGCCAGAGGGGGCCCCCTTCACAGGCGGGCCCCCGCCCCAGAGACAGGACAGCTCAGGATGGCAGCCTTCAACAAGGGCCACCCCTGGGTCAGCAGGTGTGGACCTCAGTGTCGCCTCCAGACTTATATTAGTGCCTGATATGGGTGTTCGAGTGGTTGAAACCACCTTTAAGGGACCATTACCCGAAAATTCCGTGGGTCTGGTGATCGGGAGATCCTCCACGGCCCTTCGGGGTCTCATAGTAGTCCCGGGGGTCATAGACTCAGACTACACAGGACACATTAAAATTATGGTTCAATCTCTTGTGGGTACTATGGTAATCAATAAAGGAGACAAGATAGCGCAGCTCTTGCTGCTCCCCAGTCTCCACAGGAGATTTCCCTCAAAGCAGAAAATTAGAGAAAGTCAAGGTTTCGGTTCCTCAGGGGAAGTCTTCGAGGGACTCCATATAATACTTGATAAAAGGCCCATGCTCTCACTTAAGGTCAATGGCAAGAATATAACAGGGCTCCTAGACACAGGAGCTGACCGTTCCATTATCTCTAGAAAGGATTGGCCCTCCAACTGGCCCACCAACACTGCAGATAACACGCTGCAGGGCCTGGGGATGGTGTCAGCTCCTCAG